GAAAGGTGGTCCTCGCCTCCATGGGCACGGCACCTGGGACGAGCGTTTGGGCGAGATTGAGAGCTGCCGGATGTCTCAGGATGGTGAAATCCGAATTTGGTGAGAGCGAGTTGAGCACATTTCAGGGTGACTCCCTCAAGAACATTGCGGAATCGGCTCACAAGGCAAAGGTGCAGTGCAAAGAGGAAGGGAACTACTTGTCACTGCATGGCAGTCGATCTCCCTGTTCCACATGGCCATGGCTGCTTGCAGTTGAGATGTATTCTCAAAGAAGTTTTTTTGTGCCAGGCCAATGTTCTGGGCCAGATTTGCGGCTAGGTGATCATGAGGAGGAGACCCTGTTGGATGCAGCCCAGTTTCGAGAGGGGGGGGAGGGGCCTGATGTTGGGCCCTTCCATCTGGAAGCAAAGAGCAGCCAACCAGCGCCTTGAATTTCAAACCCATTACATAAGGAATGCATTAAATGTTTGTTTCTTCGAACCAATAGCGGCCCATATCAAGGGCCTTTGCAGTTGTCATTCGACTCTTGAAGCGAATTACCTTTATTCCGGCCCCACTGTGCCGCTGTCAAGCAAATCAGCGTGGTTTGCCACAAAGGTGAGTGATGGGGTCGTTTGGACAACTTGTCATAAGAGACAAGCAGAGTGGCCCTCTTTTTGCATTGCAGGCAAAGGGACCGCACAACATCCATTTGCTTAAGAACAGATCTTATCTACCCTAGTTGGTGTTAAAGGTTACGCAAGTTAGCACTTTAACTGCAACAGTGCCGGCATTTGAGGGATTTGCACAGCCAGCCAGCACCTAGCTTGTAGCATTGTGTTTCCGGAATGTGTCAATGTTCGGGAGTCTTTCGTGAACTTTGTACTGTACACCAACCTGGGCACAGCATTGACATTGGAAACACTCTATCTGCAATGCAATATGATACTTGCATCGACAATATTGTTGTAAGTATTTACTTGACATTTCCAGGTTCTCGTGCAGTCTGTAATCATGGTTTCCTTGAATTTACGAAGGGCCCCTGTAAGATGCGCCGCCCTCCACGCTTTGTCCAGGTCGTTACGGGCGACAGCCCGGACCTCGGCTGGCACACCAAGCCCATGGAGGGGAGCGGCCGCAAAGGGCTTACGGGGAAGCAGCTGTGTCAGGCGGCCTGGAACGGCGTCTTTGATGCGTTCGGCTCAGATGACCCGAGACGCGGCAGGGTTGGAGGATGGTTTGGCACTTCATACCAGAAGTTGCTTCGGTGTTGCATTCGCCAAGACACATAATAGGACTTTGAGTCATGTGTCCACTACTGACTCAGTGAGCCCTACTAGCAAGTTACTGAGCAAGTTTGATTCGACTTTGGCCACGTTCAGGACGTTTTTATTGAATTGGAGCGCTCAGAGATTGCTGATAAATGTTTTTGGGTCGTTTGCCTGTCATGTGAGCAAGTCACAATATTATTCGTAGTCGATTGTGAGTTTCGGCAGGACAGTGGAGCCCCACCCAATCCCGCACAAACATCAGGGTGGCCTACGTACCCAGTCCACGTCCTCTTGGGGAACACAGTAGGTGCAGACACAGTGCGCTTGCCAATTGCCAACCAGCTGCCAATGGAAGTCTAGAGTATGATTGTATGCCTTGTTCGGGTCAGCATGACATTTTGAGTCATTCTGGAGTTGGCTTGAGACACATTCGCCTGTTTTATTTTTGCCAAAAAGGCTATATCCATGTTCCACCGATCCAAGGACCGCCCCTTTGATCATCCTGGTCACCGGACCTCAGCCCGACGCCTTGGAGAACCTCACGGTGCCGTCCAACGCAATCTGCCGCCAGATGGTGCCGCAGGTGGACTTGCTCCGCGCCAGGGTGGACGTCTTCCTTACGCACTGCGGGCAGAACAGCTTCATGGAGCACCGCGGCGAGAATGACACTGTCAACTCACCAGGAAGGCGGCATATTTTTGTTGACTTGCTGAATGCCATCAACATATACATATATATATCTATATATTATGTATCTGAATCTAAGGGTTTTGTATTACACCCTCGGAATACACCCACTGGGTATTGACCCCATTTAGGCACATTTCCGGATAAAACCGTGTTATTTTGAACCATTCTGGGTTATTTCTCAAGGGTGTATTCTCAGGGTGTAATACAAACACCCTGAGAATGTATATAGATTACAGTGAGTAATATACCGGCACCGCGCTTGCAAAAGCCCAGGTCCTTGGTGCTTGGGGTGCCAATGGTGTGCTGCCCCGGGTGCGTGGACCAGCCCACGAACGCTGCCAAGGCTGAGGCTCTTGGCGCGGCACTGCAGGCCGGTTTCAATTTTTTGGGGCCGGGCGGGTTTTCTTCGGGGGCCTCGAAACCTTTCAAAACCAAGGACCCCTTGATTCATTGGCTTGGTTTGATCTCTCGTTTGAAACATCCAGGGGCTTACAAAGAAAGGAAAGAAACCCCATCTCAGCCAAAGAGCGGGTACATTGATACCAGGTGTCGCGGCCCGTGCCAGAGGATGGCGAGGAGCAAGCAGCCATGCAGAGCTACCAAAGCGAGGCACAGACCTCGCAAAGTTCACAGTTTGACTACTGAGCCTCTGGATGTGTTGCGGTGTGTGAAGAGGTCTCTGCACATCGAAACCAGCGCCAGAATTGGTGTTACCAGAGACGCAGCATGTTTGTTATATAGTTGACCGGTCGCCTCAGGACCAACCAACATCATCATTTTGCAGTTTGTCAACAGAATCGAACTGACAAATTGATCTTGCTCGTGTTGCTAGCTCGCTGACATAGCTGGGCCGCATTAATTGCAGGCCAGGTGCCAGTGGCAGCATGTTTGATGATGTCGATTTTGCTTTTTGAAGAGTGTTCTACATGCATCTCATGAACCTGGAAGCTGGATTTTCCAACACTTAGGTGAAACGTCGCACCATGAGGCAGCACCCTTTGTATTGTGGAGCCAACTTTCTGAACTCACCTCACAGAGTCGGGAGCTGAGCGAAAAGCGCCGTCAGGTTGCCTCCAAATTGCTGCGGGTGCTGGAGGCCCGGGGCTATCTACCAAAGGGACTGCTCAAGAATCCATCACAAATCGATGTGCCCCAGCGAGGCGATGCTGTGTGAATATTTGCTGCAAGCATGCGTCAACGGCGCACCTGTATGCTTTGAACCAGCAACCAAATGCTGACATCATGGTGATTGCAATATTGCTCGCCGTGTTGATTGGGCGAGTTTGGTTGAGGAGCCAGGCTTCCGGCAGAAGGTGCAGGCGGTTAGTCAGCGCATCGAGGAGAGCGCCGGGAGTCGCAGGCTTCCAGGGCACATGGGCAGAACACGTGGCCCCGTGGGTCCCGTGATTCACATGTTTCAATCATTTGGAGGCTCCACTAGGCTTTAAGTCATTTCAGCTTTCTCTTCGAGCACTGTGTTTGCCTTAGCCTTTCAAGTGGGTCGATTCGGCCCCGCTCAAAAAGACATAGACTTTTCTGAGGGCTGATTGCAATCTTCCCAGTCCCGTCAGGAGGCTGGGGGCGTACCTCGCGCTGCTGAGCACATTGTGCGCACTGCGCGGCCGCTGCCAGTGTTGCTCAATCAACGGACCTTGGCCGCAGAGGCGGCCGAGGCGCACGAGGCGAACAAGGCAGCGGCACAAAGAAAGGGAGCAGCGGGGAGTTGTCGTTGTTGTGTTTAAGCAATAATCTTTGCCCAACCCCACGCTGTTTTCAAAAGAACACATTCTGGGTCAGACCTTGAAAGGCACTATGGATTTTGTGTGGTTGCTTGACAGTTTGAACACAGGGGTGATGCTGGTCATGTTAGCGATGTGTTGTGTGTTGAATGGATGCAGCATGTACACACGCAACAAGAGTGTTTGCCTTCTGTCTTTCTGTGCTGTCGGGCATGAGAGGGGAGGCCTGTCTAAGACATTCTGTGTTTTGCAGCGTTCAATAGAAGCAGGCACAGTTGTGAGTTTGTCTTAGTTTGTCTTGCTTGCTCTTTATGCCTGTGCCAAGCCATTACACAAATCTTGCCTCCTGGCCAAACCTGCTGTTGATGGATGAAATCCTGCTTCGCCTTGAAAGCTTCGTGGACTTGCGGGCATTTGGCCGTGTGAGAGGGCTGGATGTTTTCCGTGCTTGATGCATGCAATGATCCACGCTTTTGGGCGTTGAACTCCAACTCCCTTGTTCAGGCCCCTGCTCGGATGGAAAATGGTGCTGCAGTCAAGGTGTGGTGAGGCGTGCTGTGCATAATTCGAACTCCATTTTCGCCGTTGGTCTCGCTGACGCGATACCTACGCGCCTGCGAGCACAGGACCGCAACCGAATTCGCAATTTTCACTCACCCACCCTAGGGTGCGTGTGGTTTCGGCAGCCAAAAGCCTGCCAAAAAGGAGCGGATTCCATTGCACAAACACTGCAATCCTTTTGCGCGTGGTGAATATCCTAGGTTTTTGTTTTAGAGCGTTCTGCATATAATTTGTTTAGTGTTTGAGTTGTCAGGCAAGCATAGCAAGCGGAGCAACAGCCAAATCATTTCTTACATTTTCTTACCACGTCGAAAGCAGCTCGTTCCTGCACGGAGACTGAGAACAAGCGCATAGTGTGATGGCACGCGATGGCAGATCGCTACCATCCAATCACACCCCTGTCATTCCGGAAGCACTGGCGGGGGCTTGTGCATGCACTCTGTACAGAGACACTCGAACAGCACGGCTTTCCTGCTCACCAGGCTCACAAGGGAGAAAAACGGTGTGCATGGCTTGAGCGCTCAGGGTTCCAACCAGGGAGGGGCAAAACTTGGGCCAAGGTGGCTATTTTGTTGTAGTGCATGGTGTCATGCGTACTAACCGTGTTGCGTCATGAAAGCCAGATCGACAAGCCTGTCCTTGTACAAGGTTGGGGTTCCGGAACTTAACTTCTCTTTTTGTTCCTGGGACCCCCGGACGAAGTTATGGACGTCAGGTAGAAGATGAAGACGGAGGCATGCAACGACCGCTTTGGGCTGAGGCATCATCCAGACAGATGCCTCTATCAACCCTGGCAACAGTGGGGGACCGCTGCTGAATAGTGAAGGCGGGCAGACAGCGTCCTTTTTCTTATCCTTTGATTGGTATCCTTTGGTTCCCTGGTTACCAGCTCAGCCCCACTTTGCATTGGCAGTCTTCCCCTTTTGTGAAGAGGATGAACAACAGCCAGCCTTTTGGGGTCATGTATCCTGTGGGTATGCAAAAGGGGTGTGTACAAACACCTGGATTGGGGGGGCACTATAGCAGGGGTTGGGGGGAACTAAAGCAGTAATATACTCAACAAATGCATGGCATACCTTTGTTTCTTCAAAGCACCAGCCAGCGGCATTTCCAATTTCAGCACACCGCCAGTATAAGCACCCACCTGGGCACCCGAAGAAGATTTAGATGATTTTCAACAGCCCAACAAGGACCGACAATTCTGGGCTGTGTCTATGTTGCCTTCCGCTCATTTTGTTGTTTAAGCTGCCGCTATGCCGCTGGCATTGTAATTGTAGCTTCTCATTTTTTGAACACGGGGGGGGAACACTCAATTGAACCATTTGTGTTTTCATGAAAGTCTGCAGGGGATAATCAGTAGCTCAGTGGCAATGAGAATGTCTAGGCAAGTGATACAGGTCGCCTCTACAAACACCATTACATGGCCCTTCGATAGGCGCTGTGGTGGGTGTGAACACCGCCATCCTCTCTACCAGTGGCCGCGTACTTAGCTCATGAACGGGGCCGAGAATCCGTTGCCCGATTTGGCATGCAAACTTGCTTTGCGGACAAGCAAAAAGGAGGCGAAGTGAACCGAGCACTATGTTGGCCCAACCCACTGGGTTCCAAACCAGGTTGGAGTGGCGAGGCCCAGCTGGATCTAGAGCTTATCAGGCAGCTTGTGCGCGTTTTATGTGTGTCGGCAAGAGGCTGTAGAGCGCTCAAAAACATCGCGAGTTGCTCTAAGAAATCTAGTTCAGAGATGGCACAACTGTTCATCACTCCAAGAGCTATTAGTCAGAACCTGCCATTGACAACATCTTGACAACACCCTGGGAGCCAGATCTACCTTTACTGTTTCTGAGTGGAAGTGAAATTGACTTCTCCCGGGTCCCTCTTGCTTACCTTACCGTAAAGTGTGCGTTTGTGCATAGCGCCACAAATGTATTATCTATAAGTCAGACTGCTCTTTATTTGAGTACTGCTGCTGTCGCGCGGTATTCTGCTGGCCAGTTTCAAGGAACGTTCTCCGGGGTTGGCTTTGCCCTGCCCATCGACACGGTGGTTAAGAACGTGCAATCGATGATTGAAGAAGGCGCGGGAAGGCAATTGCTCAGTATGTGAGAATCAAGAGGTAGCAATCGACCCAATTTATACGGGTAACTATGAAGTTTGATGAGGGGCATGTGACAGGTGTTTCTGAAGTGGCACATCTGATGCCTTTCATGGACATTGTCGCCCATGCATGAATGACTTGCAAGTACCCGAGTTGTAGGCATTTGGGTGCTGGATGTTTCTTGTGGATACCTGGAGAGACAGCGTCGATAGTGGTGGAGCTTGTGAGGTTCTTCTTTGAGTTGGTTGAACAGTACACTCTTTGACTCTAGGTGCACTCTTGGTACATGTGCTTACATGTTGCAACAAATACAAGCAAGGAGCCTTGGTATCCACAGAGCAGACCGACAACTTCTGGTGTTTGTCAATTGGTTCGGCAGTTGTGATACAAGCCACGTGAATGTTGATCACTTTGCCATTCAGCCTGAGACTGTGCAACTGTGTCAGCAGGCAGTAGCCCGCCTTTTCCCTTGTTTCCAGCTGCACCCTCAACTTCGAAAGAATTGCCGGATTGCCTACTGTCCATTACTACTGAGCGGTTTCATAGGCTCGCCGGCCATATGACAGGCCTTATCCCGCATTCTGACGCCCAGCTCTCTGACGATCCGTTCAACTGCTTTGCACTCTGGGAGATAGCTTGCTCCCATCTCCCAAGATGCAAAGAAGTGAGTCTTGGGGCAAAGCAGAACAGTCGTCTCGTGGGCATCCTGGGGTTAGAACTTTACCTGCTTAGACAACGAACATGAGGCGTCTCTTGACATGGGAGAAGCGTCTTCGCATACAGATCAGCAGAGAGCACTAAGATTTTGAAGAGCAATGGCAGCAGCCTGCCTATCTTTGTCGGATTGCTCAAGGTCAGCTCGCCATCCGAGAGCGCAGGCAGCTTGCAGCCGCACCCTTCCTTTTGCTTCCAGCAATAATTTCCATTTGCCCTCTGGCAGCTTTGTCCCGTCGCAAACTTTCAATCAACCAAAGCGGTTTGCTTGTTCCCCCCATGTCCTTTGGAATGTCAAGTTTCAGAGTTCGACTGGTATACCTTTGGAGCATCCGTCCGCCGAATGGTCACAACCAATTCGCAGGCTACGTGTCCCGGCCATCCATCGGCGTGGAGCTGGCCCCGGATTCGGTCTCCGAGTCCTTGGGCATGCCGGGGGCGATGGTGATGAAGGCCAGGAGCGAAGGGGCAAGAACAGGTTGAACCGATGCACACCCAGAAGTTCATATAAGGGCACGGATAAAATCAGACAGAGACCGCACACAGGCAAACAAGCGAACGAACTAACCAACAAAGAAACCAAGAAACAAGACAACACAAAAGACGGAGACACGGACAGGGACAGGAACAGGCAGCTACAGCCAGAGACAGACAGATGGATAGACAGACAGAGACAGACAGGCGGAGAGAGACAGAAGGACAGAGACAGACAGAAAGAGACATGAGACAGACAGAAACCGGACAGAGAGACAGACAGGTACGCAGGCAGGCAGACAAACAGACAAGCAGACAGGCAGACAAAAGCAAGCCAACAGAAGCAGCACCGCGACAAACTACATCAACAGCAACAAAACAGACAAATCCACACCATATTTTCTCCTCTCCCCTGGCCCACCTGACGCCGACACGGACAGCACATGGCACATACAACGCAGCACACCCCGCACCACATGCAAAACACCGCACAAAACACGCAAGACCGACGCGCACACACAAAGACAGAGGCGCAACACAGCACACAGCACACTACACACAGGGCACTACACACAGCAAAGACACAATTCGCAACACAGCGCACGGCACTACACACACACAGCAGGCAGCGCACCTCACCACAACACAGCGCAGCGCAGCACAGCACACCGCAGCACACAAAACGTAATACATCAGCCCCCACAGAGGCACGGAACCGCAATCAGTATATTGCCCAGAGTACGCTTGTGATTTGACCTCCCAGATCCTCTTTCTTTGGACACCATCTCAACACCGATCCAATCTAAGAGTCAAAGAGCAACACTAAGCTTATTTACTTTATAGGTATCAACCAGAGGAAGGCAAGCCACTTCTGTAGGGTGTCGCCTTTTGGCTGGCACTTTCGGCCTGAGGTAGTACCAGGGGGGCCTGCCCAGCGCGCAGGGATGAGGCTGGGATGGGGGTTGGAGCACATTTGGTGCGCATATATATATATATATATGTATATATATATATATATATGTGTGTGTGTGCGTGGCTGCTTGTTTGCTGAATCCACCTCGTTCCATGGCTCTGGGCGATGCTGTTGATGTTTTTGTTGAGCAGCCAAAGAACCAATTCACTCCAGAAGCAGTGATTCAAGCTTCGGGCATCGATGGCAACGTGCAGTCATCCGCTTTACAGCTAGATCGGTGTGCCATGAGCGGAATGCAGTGTGCATTATGTCTCGGGCGTGAAAAGAAACATGATCCGATTCCCTTACCGAACTAGATCGGTGTTGCCGGTGCTATTCACAGGCTCTCTTTGGGCGGGGGGGTTGCCCGTCAACTCATCAAGAAAGGCGTGTCAATTTTCTGTGAGATCATGGTGCTTCAGCATGTAGATGTTGCATTTTGAGACTGTGTTTCAACATGGACAGGCGGCTTACACGAAAGTTCGCATTCAACTGCACCAACACTGAAGTGAGATCAGCATCAGATAGATCGTGTGCTGTCGCTTGCTTGCCTATTTGTACTGCGCGCAGAGTGCAGATTCATCGCTGAGACTACTGTGAAAGGGTTTCAAAGTTGGCAAGTCACTTTTCCACAGGCAAATTGAAGTATCATGGAGGAGGACTTCTCACACAGAATCGTTTGTGAGGATACGTGGCAGGTTAAAGCTGAAAGCTGAGCCATTGTACTGGGTCCAAAGGTATCCCTCAGCCCTTGGTGTCCAGTTCCACTGGTGAAAGGTCTGAGCAGCTGAGCAAATTGTTTATCTGTGATGGACCAGATGGGAATTGGCCAGCACATGTTATGATCTCTCAGGGCCCTGCGCAGCGGTCAGCTTGGCGATGCATTGGCCTTAGGCTTTGGATGAGTTTTACCCTTCCAGCGCGGGAACAAGTATGGGCAGGTGGCTGCGGAGAGTAAGTAGAGTTAGAAGCAGCAGCAGCAGCAGCAGCAGCAGCAGCAGCAGCAGCAGCAGCAGCAGCGGCGACCGCACGAGTAGCAGTGTCAGTAGCAGCAGCAGTAGCCGCAATGGGATGAAAGTACAGAACCTTAGTAGAGGGGCCAACCATGCTCTAGTGGCAGCATTGCAGTAGTAGCAATTGTTATACTCATAGTAGTCATCGTTGTCATCATGGTTGCAGTGGTAGACCTGCTGGCACGGCTGTTCAGCAACTTTTGTGTCTGTTATGTTCGGTTGCTGGTGTGAGGCAGGGCAAGCAATGTGCTGACAATATGCGTCCAGCGATTTGTAGTGCAACTAAACTGTTCGACAATGCTCCACCCGGCGCCACTTCGCTCTGAGAATGCTTGAAAAACAATGGGTGCTTGTGGTTCCAGAGGGTGCCTCTTTTCTTCTTTTTTTGTGGGGGGGGGGGGTTAAATGCGAAGCTAAAAGGACCACCATTCTGTTTTGGGGGTCCCCTATTTATTTTGACGCATATGTTAGTGGTACATTCTATGTATGCCATGTCCCGGCATGCGTTGCAGGCTTTGGCGGAGCCAGAGATTCACAAACACGGCAGACATGCTGCACACTTTTTCCTACCTGTTTGTTTGTCGGAACGCGGCACAGGCTCCCACAAGTGATTCTCATGTGAGCGGTTCTAATACCCCTGCATGTGAAAGTAGTATTCGGGCATGTTCAAAACGTTGTCCTAGGCCGCGACAGGTTTGCGGAAGGGCCACAATCTTCATGTTCTTGTTTGCATGCATGACTGCAAGTAGGGCTCAGGGAAGTGGTTTGATATGGAGCAACTGCAAGTGACAAAACTCACGAGCAAGCACTTCTGAGGAGGAAGGTATGTCGTGAACTTGTCAGGAAGTCCATGTTGGCGAGCATGCCAATCGGATATTCGTGGACCGTGACCAAGGGAACAACTGAACCAGCATGATGATCTAAACTGACTCACCACGACAGTATTTCTGGTTTGGCGGGCACCCAACTTCGTATAAACCAGCCAAACGTTGATTCGGTGCTGTGAACCTGCTCCTTTGCCTTGAGGTTATTGTCAGGATGGGCGGCAAGTCGATTTCCAGCCCCGAAGACGTCTTCCGATGCCTGGATGAGCCTCTTGGCATGCTGGTTTCAGGTTTGCGATGTTTGAGATTGTTGAGATGTGCGTGGGTGTGATGCGATTCTTTGAGCCAGTGCCTTGTGTTTGCATAGCAGTTTGAGATGTAAGTTGCCCTGCTGGCTCTGATGAATGCCCGTGTTGGCTGTGACAACCAAGTGCAGCGGCCTTGTTGCGGCATTCACATGTAACCAAGCAAAGGGTCTTAGGCTGCTAAGCTGAGAGGTTCCAACCGATGATACATGCGTCACACATGAATATGCTGAATGCTACAATTATACATTGTAGATGTGCATATATATATATATATTGAAACCGCCGGTCTGAATCTCACTCAGGCACTTTGACCTTGCACGCTTCGGCCAGTTGGATCGAGGATCCGAGAGCCTTTTCCCTTTGATTTACAATCACTGATGTATGGTGAAACGCGCGTGCAGCTTTCAAACGTTGACAAGGCGGCACCGGAGCCGCGTTGACAGGCCGGATTCACCCCCTGAGCGACGATCCTTCCGACTCCGGGCCAGACCTGTCGACTTGGCGGGCCCAGGAGGCCTTCCACGTGAGCCCAATGCGACCAAGATGCACTCTTCTTCAGGTGGTTCATGGACATGGGCATACCAGCTCCACTACAGCAGGCGCGGCTCCGAGGGTTAGAGGTGGACAGCGTGTGGTGGCAGCGAGTTCTGCCGCACGAACCAGCCCGCCAAGATTGCCACAGACGCCGCTACCTGGATGTTCATCCCCAACAACGGTGTGCCCCATGAGAAGGTCAACGCCCCGAGCAGGACCTCCAGGAGGCGCAGGCAACTGGCGTGAAGTTTCATCTGCCACCGCCAGGAATTCCTCACCAGCTGGAACAACGACTACAGCGAGCACATCTCTGCGCTCAGCCATCACGGCCCCGCAGGAGGACGGTATGGCGCTATGATCAAGAAGAATACGAGCGTACAAGAAGTGCTGCAAGAAGGTCGACATCGGGCTTTTACAAGTCGCACGAGGAAAGGGACGGCGCTTGCGCTATATGGCGCGCTAGAAGGAGAAGCAGAGTAGGAACTGGAGCGCATTCCGGCTTCCGAGATCTAAAAGAACGACGCAGTTGAGGTCCTCAAGTGTGCACGGAGCAGAAAGCGGTGTGCCAGAAGCGCACGTACTTGGCCAAGCTCGAGAACACGCAGCGCTACGGACGGCGGGGGGTCGCTCAGGAGCTTCGTGGATTGGCTCTCAACGGAGCCTGAGAGGCGTCGGCAGTCACACGTGCGACAATGTTGGGAGTCAGGTTTGGCCGCAGTGGTTTGACTCGGTGCACACCAGACTTTGCTCTTTAGTCGCATCGCTGAGGCCATGGCTCTGCAGTTTCCTGACTTCCGACCGCCTACCTTGCGGACACAGAGGCAAGGGCGGCGAGAAATCTAAGGGCCACAAGAGCACGGGTTCGAGCTCTTCGGCGATATCCGGTACGTCTACTACCCCCGTCTCCAGATCAGCGTCCGCTACAAGTCAGGGAAAGGGGCGACGGGCTTGCGTCGCTGATTGGCACAGCCTTCTGACGACGGTCAAGCGGAGGACGCTGTGGATGCCACCCCGGAGGCAACGGAGACGGAGACGAAGTGCGGATTTTGGGGACAAGGTCGAAGACGACGCAAACTCCGCAGCCCTCGCCGAGTTGGCGGAAGTATTGAACTTGACTGCGCAGAAGCTGAGCGGCATTGCCCCGGGTCGGAAATTCACGTATGTGATTCCAAGGGGACCAACAAGGGATGTCAAAGGGCAACACGTTGTTCAGCTTGCGGGGGGAGGCCCTGAATGCTCGAAGAACTTTGCATAGAAAGGGCAGCGAATTCCAGCTGGCCGCCAATCGGTGAGGTTTGTGCACCATAAACATGGCCAAGGTGTCATCCCCCTCAAGGATATGTTCTCAACATGATCCAGTCCGTGACTCTCGGACCCCCCCGTTGCCTGGAACCGCGAGGTGGCTGCGAGAGTGGAGTAAGCGTCTCGGTGATGAGCGACGCAGCTTTATAACAAGCAGATCTACTTGATGTTCAATATGCGCGACGAGCTCATCTCCATCGCGTTGACGCACGTCGATGACTTTATCGGTGCCCACCGTGAAGATGCAAAAATTACCAAGGGGATCTTTTACCATGCGAGGGACGACGTTCCAGTGACTTTAAGGGCAAAGAGCCGGCCTTCGCCCGCAGGCCGGGGGTCAACTTCCTCGAGGGCAACTTCGGCAAGTGCGGCTGAAGTCCGATGAGCGGAAAGAGCACTCAGGCTAGGCCGGAGTTGGCAGCCTTACTCCGCAACACCTACGCCGACATCAGGGACTTGCAGGCCTTGAATGATGTCATCCACTTCCTCAACCACCTGAAAGTGGCATCGTGTTTCCGGACATTGCCATCGACAAGGACAGCGTCACCACTTCATACAGCAAGGCTAGCTGCGCAAACCCACGCTGCTTTGGCTCACAGATTGGCGTCACCGCTGGCGCCAGGGACCCCGACTTTCGGGGCACGTCTATAGGCCATCACGCCCCGAACGGCTGTGGACGAAGCTACGGATCGATCGCCGTTCCTCAGCTTTCATCTCCGAACTGGCGCATCACCCGCCAGCACATCGAGTCGGGCTCAGGATGAACTATGCGGACGCGAGGTCTTTGTACAACGCGATCATGAATCCGTCTCCAAGCCTGGCGCAGAAGCGCGCCTTGGTGCGCAGGAGACAATCTCGGGCAATCAAGTCCTGGGTCCCGACCAGTGTGCAGACGGCCTCACGAATTCCGACGAAAAGCTTCGCCTCTTGTGCGCGCAGTAGCTCCAGAACCCCAAGACCGTGGTCACATTTAAAGATGCAGAGGCGGGTGCAAGGCCAACATAGAACTTCGCCGTGAAAACGCCGCTCTGAATCTCAGTAAGGCACTTTGACCTTGCACGCTTCGGCCAGTTGGATCAAGGATCCGAGTGCTTTTTCCCTTGATTTGCGATCATGGATGTGTGGTGAAAAGCCCGTGCAGCCTTCAGCCACACTTTGACAATATATGTATGCATGTAAATCTCTCTATATATATGTATAGCGAGCCACGCTGGTGTTCTGGGGTGACATATGTGACCTCTGTGGTTGATTCAAGTTGAGGTGCGTTGCCCTGCGCTATGATATTTCAGCAGTCCGGATTGGGCTGCCTATTCATATCCCTTTGTGCACGGTTATCGTTTTCCGCCATTTCTGGTTTAGACATCCACCAGCTCATCAACCTCAGTAGCAGTAGCAGTGAGGCGCACGTGCAAGCAATTGCAAATAAGGCAGTGCGTTTTGTCATAATTGTGTCAGGGAGAGAAAACTGTGTGTTGTGTGGTTTCGGCACCTTCCTGTGACTCAATATTGGGTAGGCGCTATGGGAAACACAGTATTTCTGCTTAATGCATAGAATATGTGAATATTGTGTGTTGTAAATCTCGCAGTATACACAATTTTGACTCTGACACAAACCGCTTTCAGTAAACAGGGGAAGAGTGGCCTGCCAGATTTCCTAAGGGCATGGCCGGTGCAGATCCACGGATCGCCTAAGGAGAAAGCCCGGGGAGGAGGTCATCATGTGCCCCTGGCATGGGCCTTTGCTCGGGCTCAGTGCTCCCGCTCAAGAGGAAAATTATTAGATTCGACGAAACCTGAATCGGCCTGTTTTTTTTCTTCTCCTTTTTTTTTCCGGTACCCTGAAAAGGTCTGGTTGGTTGAGAGGGAAATCAACATGAACACCACCCACTTGGGGGTTCCCCCTATTTGAGATGGACCCATATTGTGAAATTCAACTGAACGAGCGTTCTTGTGAACACGAAGTCGAATCAAAGCTGAAGCTTGTCCCGTGGGGTAAACCCGTTCAACATCCAAGCTGTGGTTTTTGGCCTTGGCGTTTCAATATTATCTTGGCCTTAAAGGTGTGCAGTGTGCAGATAGTTTGGCGGCTCCGCCCACTCGTTTGCCTTTTATTTCAGCTTTTGGTACTCACTAGTTACCCAGCACTCCCAGCAAGTTTGTGCATGGGGCACTCCAGCCCTGCCTCACCTACAGCGAGAAACGCGGTTGCTTGAAATGCTTTGATGTGAATTAGACTGATATGTGGCGGCGAAGTATACTACCATGCTTGCTTTGCAGACAGCGACAAGGTGCACGTTTTTATCATGAACTTTTTCGAGGCACCTCAGCTTTGCAGCTGGCTTTGCGCCTGCCAGTTTGATTAGGCAGTCCAATTGGCCAGGACGGTGCAGCGACCCTCAGCTGACGAAGAAAGTGACAACGTGGACGTGGTCCGGGGCCCTGGTTGCTACCGGTAGCCGAAATCCACTTCGCACCAGTCGATAGGATGCATGCCAACCGGACGGGATTTGCCACAGAGGGGCAGCGTAGCGAACTCTCTGAATTGTTCCCTAACAGTTTTCGCTTCGGGCGGGGGGAGGGGGTTGGTGTGTGAGTTTGCGGCGCGTCCGGAGGGCTTTGTGTTTCCTTCGTTGTCAGGCCCGCGCCGGACGTGCGTCGCGCTTTTTACTTTGGTTTTGAACTTGGCTTTCGAAAGCCGAAGGAGGCTAGCTGTCTCACACATGCAAAAGCGCGCCGCGCGCGCGCCGCGCGCGCGCGCGCGTCCGGTACCAGGGTCTTATTTATGTAGGCGAGTAGATCGGGTTTTCCTCACCTGTAGCTTTAGAAAAGTTTCCACACTTTGGTTGTGTGCAGGAAGAAGCTCTGCATCTGACGAAGTTGCAGTTCATTCCATTTTGCCAGGTGCCACCAACTGCATTTCAGAGAGTGCGGGCCCGTTTGGTTGTGGTTGTCTTGTTTGTTGGTGGGTGGTTTTGCAAGTTGGCGTTTTCATTTTGCACTTGGTGCAGTTTACTTGCATGTCTTCGGATTGGATTTGCATTTAAGAAGCCGACGAAGTCTCGGCTCTTGGGTCTTAGATTTTAAGCTCGCACATGGAAGACCTGCGTGCCATACATGGTGGTTTGGCTGCGGAAGTGGAGAAGTGGTATAAGTCTGCCGTGCATTTTTCTATTCTATTTGATGACAAACCCGGAGCTGAGACGGTTTTGAACGAGACTTTGCAGGGCCAGGTGAGTGCAAGGCGTATTGCCGAACTGGTTGACCCAGTCTTGGATTGGGCTCGAAACTTGGAACCGCTGCAGAAACGTTTGAAACGGGACATTGTGCGCAATTTGCAAACGCCTCGGCTGGTCGAACGCTTTCCTGTAGTTACAAACCTTTCGGACGAATTTGACCGCTTGACTGGTTTTGATGTTCAGCTTTGCAGCAAAGTTGCCAAATCGCAGATTCGATGGATATCTTCAGGGGCTTCGAGCGCAAGCAAGCAAGAGTTTGAAAATCAGCTACGCAGGTATTGGGGGAATCTCCTTTTGGTCTTTATTCAAGAAGCTGATCTTCCTTTGTTTGCCATTACTGAATCTGTGGCAAACCCTGCGGATGTGCGATTTCGGGCTCTGGGCGCCAGGAGAGGCAAAACCCTGAGGAATCGAGTTCGAGTTCGGAAACGTGTCCGCGTTTGGATGATGCTGGTCAAGGGACGCGTGCATCCAGCAGGACCTGTAGACATGGTTGATTTTCTTACAAGTCAAGTGCAGCAGGGATGCCGGAAGTCTTGGCCTGGCGAGGTGGCTGCTGCGCTGAGTGTGATAGAGGAGGTAGGTCAGGTTTCTGGAGACGATCAGATTGCGTGCAATAGGCTTTGGCTGTCTTGCTTGAAATCTTGCCAGATGGATTTGCAGCAGGGAAGCACTCGCAAGAAAGTTGCTCTTCCTCTTCCACTAGCCGTCATTATTTCCTTGGAGTTGTACTTGAAGGATGATGCGAAGCCTGTGCATTGGCGGCTCATTGCATGGAGTTGCCTGCTAGCGTGCTGGGCGTGTTTCAGAGCGGACGACATCCAGGGTATAGATATTTCACGGTTCACCCTGACGGATCAGGGGTTGAAGGGCTTTCTGATCTCTACGAAAACAACCGGCCCAGGAAAACGGATCTTGGAAGTGCCCTTTTTCGTGCATCGGAGGGTCTCTCTTGCGGACGTGGACTGGCTGGCGTTAGGCGAAGAGATCCTGTCCCGACCTGAGTATTCGTTTGCCCGAGATTTTTTCCTCATGAAAGGGAAGCGCGATATGACAGGCCCTGTGCAGGTTTATCTCCGCACGGAAACGCTGGTTAGCTATTGGCAGGGACTGTGGATGATCCTGGAGACCCCCAGGTGGAACCGCTCCCAAGGGTCATGGAAGATTTTGGAGGGCCAACCGCTCCTATCTGCAGGACTGTGCGCCTTTTGGTCAGGGCATTCTCCCAGACATGTGCTCCCCGCCATCAGCGCGGCTATGCGAATTGACAAGCAGCTGCGGGATTATCTGGGGCGCTGGCACGTGAACATGCATCAGTCAAACGATTATATTCACACTTCACGGCAGATTGTGCTTGATGTGCAGTTTCAAGTCTGCAACGGGTTGCGAACAGGGGATCCGATGTTCGATGAGGAGGAGCTCCTGATCTCGATCAAGCAACATATGGATGAGCGCTCAGAAGACGGGGCCGCGGGCTTGATGCGGTTTCAAGTTCAGAAGCTTCAAAATGGCAGATTGGTTTTGGGTTTGGATGCTGTGCCAAACATTTACATCCGCCCAGATCGCGCAGTGCCGACCATGCCTGAATCAAATTTTGATGATTCCAGTTTGCGGGAGTCCCCCTTTTGGGTCTCCATCTCGAGGAGGACCAAGTTTCGGAGGTTGCACGCCAGGCATGGATGTGGAGTACAGCCTTGGGACTGCCAGCGCACTGAGGATGTTTGGGTTATCAGCAAAGGGGTCGCTGACGCAGTTTGCAAAGATTGTGCGAAGAAGAAAGGGAAGGTGTTAGTTGATTTGTCTTCATCGTCTGAGGAGTCTTCCTCCACGGAAAGCGGGGAAGATCCGGTGACTTTTGAGCAGCCAGACTGACGAAGTCAGGATTGGAAAAAAATAGAAATAATCAGAATACCCGGCTCACACTCGCAAAAAAAAAAAAGGAAGACGAGAAAGAAGAGCGCCGGTGTTTTGATACTTTGATCTCACCACTTGGAGTGGATTGCTTTGCTGTGAGGCCTTGTTTTCAGGTTGGAATGTGCTGTGGATTTGGCCTTAGCAGTGCAGTTTCTTGGAGAGACGCAGCCTTGGAGGCTTTGTGTTACCTGAGCTTGGAGCTCCCTAGGTTGCTGGGTTGGACCCCTGCTGTGCTTTTGTTGCCCTCACTTTTAGCGTGTTTTCACCTACTGAAGTTCTACCACACATGCGCTTTCAGGACAGGCTGTCCTTAGCATTTTGTTTGGCGCCCGTGCTCCGCCATGGCTGCAACGGACGAGGCGAAGAAAGGCTGGTTGACACAAAACGTGGCTTCAGATCTTTTGTATTTGCTGGATGAGGCTGAGGTTGGGCTGGACACGCAATACAAGCTGTGCCAGGATTACAAGACGTTGCGCAAGCTATCGGCAATAGCAGACACTCGCGCGGAGTTGAGAGAGGCGCTGAAGACAGAATATGGTCTTGATGGGTCAACAAATGCGGCTCAGAGGTCCGAGGTGGCGGCTGTCATTATTGCCTGGGAGTCTTCCAAGCAGCACGCTGAGGAGGAAGTAAAGATGCGAGCGGAGGCCAAGAACCTAGGGGTTGGGCGGCCCCTCCCGCACACCGAGAGATCGGCGATGAAGAAGGCGGTGGAAAAGGCGATCAACGATCGGCTCACGGAAAAGGAAGAGCCGAGTTCCGAGTATTTGGCGCAGAAGCTGGAAGAGTTGGAGCAGGAAGAGCCTCGGGCCGCTGCTTTGGACGAAGTGCAATCCCGAGCGGAGGCAACGACACTCAAGCTGCAGACTAGCTTGGATTCTGCAGGCAAGATTACGGTGACGCGCCAGAAAGCCAAGGGGTCCTTGCCTGCCACAACTGAGGAGTTGCGGGCAAAATTGAAACTTGAGGGTATAGCTTGGCTCATGGTGGCCGCTCGATGTCGCAACAAGCCGTTTCTGCAGAATCTGGAGATGAGACATTGGGCCCGCTTTGCGGATTATGTGTTGGGCGAGAAGTGTTATACATTGAAGGTCCCTCAAGGGGCTTCGGGCAAGGCGGCAGTTAATCCCCCATGGCAGATTGTTTTGCAGTACGAACATGAGATGCGCAAATGGGCAATTCGGGAAGCGCACCAGGCGGGCAAGGAGCTGGGGGAAAAATTGAGAGAGGCGACTGAGAACTCGGAGCTGAAAGAACTGTATTTCACGTCTCCAATCGCGCTAATGAGGGCGCCGCAGGAGCCAGAAAACAAATGGCGGCGGCTCGAGAAGGGCAACAAAGGCAAGCCGTTTCAGAAGGGCGCAGGCAAAGGGAAAGGAAAGCGCGAGAGCGTCATGCCTGGCAGCGGTCTCCAGCTGGTGTCTCAGACGCCGGATGGACGTCAGATCTGTTTTGGCTTCAACCAGGTGCACGGGTGCTCCAACAAGAAATGCCAAAGGCTCCACGTTTGCCGGGTTAAGAACTGTTTGCAGAAGCATCCGGCTCATCAACATCCGAACCCCCAGGACGCGGACCAGCCGAGCGCCCAAGGGGCCAACTGACTCGGACCAGCAGAGAAACATGAATGCACGGCAAACGCGATGCTCGTATCGGGGCCAGCTAGCGCCCAGTTGCGGGTTTTACAGATTTTTGCTGGCCGTTGCAGACGTTCAGATATCGGTGAATGCCTTAGGCATTTGGCTGTGGTAGACGGTTTCACACTACATATCCATGAAGTGGATATTTGCAGAGGTAAGCAACACGATGTGCTCGACGAACACGTCTGGGCACAGATTCTTCAGATTGTGGATGAGTTTGATGTTTTGATCATTTCACCTCCAGGCTCAACCTGGAGTCGAGCCCGTCACAACAGAGGAAGCCCAGGTCCGCATCCTCTTCGCAATGCTGCCTACCCATGGGGTTTCCCTTGGCTGTCAAGCGAAAATTGGGCCCAGGTTAGACAAGGGAATGAGTTTGTCAAGAAGTCTTTCCATCTTTGCAAGCTCTTTGCCCTTAGAGACAAGTTCTTTTTGCTGGCACACCCTGAAGATTTAGGAGCCACTGCTGATGGATCTCAACCAGCGAGCATTTGGCAGGTGAAAGAATTTTCCGAACTCATGCGCATCCCTGCTTGCATGTCTTTCGCAATTTTTCAGTGCCAGTTTGGAGCAGACACGCCGAAACCCACGCGATTTGCGTGCAATATTCCTTCTGCTCGCTTGCATCACTGTGATTCACGACCAATCCATAACGCATGCGGGACTTATTTGGGACCATTGCTGCCAGTCTGCCCCCATGGAGGACACGAGAAAAAGCTGGCAGGCCAAGATGCGTCTGGCGATGGGCTCGCAGCACCCGCTGCTCATTATCCGCTGGGTTTGGGCAAGCATCTGGCATCGCTGGTGGCTTCCGTTGCAAAGGGGGAAATTTTGGCTACACCCACCAGTGATGAACTGGGGGAGGTTCAGAGCCCGGAGGCAGTCAAGGAGTTGCATTTTTCAGAACTGAAGGCCGGGTGTTTGGGCGCGCCTTTGAAAGCAGAATGGGCTGGCAGGACCGGCCAATTTCTGGATGGGCTTGGCCTCTGCAGTCCAGGCCGATGGGATCCGAGAAACAGAGGGAGGAACTTGGGCCCAGTTGCAACAGGATGGGCTGGTCGAATGCGGGGCATCGTGGAGGATTTTTGCGCGCAAAGGATTCCGGACATGGCCAAGGCCACAATGCTGTTGGCAGCTGGAAGGTACAAGACCTCCCTCTTCTCGGAGAGCGACCTAGGCGAACTGAGGCGGCGGTGGTGGAGCATTTTGCCTCAGCCGGATGAAGCGTCAGTGCGGCCTGACTTCCAACCTTTCTATTTGCAGGCTCTTTCGCAGTCTCTGTGTATACTGGAAGACCCCGACTGGGAAATCTTGGCAGTTGCCAAGGATTCATTTTCAGAAGGCGTGCCCGTTGGGCACGATGAGGCGCTGGAATGGATTCCTCAAGTGTTCCGCAAGCGGGCGAAGCTCGCGTCCTACGATGAGTCGGAGGAGAGGCTGGAAATGGAGAATTACGCATCGGCAACGGCAGCCAAGGAAGCCATGCTCCGACAGTTTCGCGAGGAAGAGGCGGAGGGCCGGATGTTCCCGATTTCGGAGAAAGAAGCCAAGAAGAGATACCCAGGTCGCTCGCTCAGAATAGCTGCCCAAGGAGCAATTCCAAAAGGTGAAGGAGCTTACAGAATTATACATGATGCAACACATGGAGTGCAGTTGAACAATGAGATCAAGTCTTGGAACAAGCTGGACACACCAGGCCCCAGAGAAATCGCGACGGTGATGCGGACATGCGAGGCGGCTGAAGAACGCGTGATCTTTGGCATAACCGGTGATGTGTCCAAGGCGCATCGTCGCTTCCGTCACAAAGAGGCGCACTGGGGGGTGTTGGCGTGTAAGGCTAGCGGCGAAGATCAGGTGGTGTGGCTGAATAGGACGGGCACCTTTGGGGTGGCCAGTGCGGCGTTATGGTGGGCACGCCTCGCTGGCTTGGCTTTCAGGTTCATCATGAAGGTCTTGGAGACGCAGTGGATTTTTCTTTTATTGTTTGCGGACGATTTCCACGCTGCAGTTGGAGGTCGCCAGAGATGGTTGACAATTTGGAGCGTGATTGCTTTAGCAGAGATGATTGGCATGCCGCTGGCTTGGGAGAAGTTCTCAGGTGGTTTTCGCCAGGAGTGGGTTGGTTATCTCCTTGACTACGGTCGCTTTTCCATGGGCATTTCGGAAAAAAGGACTCGCTGGGTAAGCATCTACTTTGACAGCATGGAAGAGGCGACCTGGCTTTGTGATATGAGGAGATTCACGGAGTGCCTTGGCAGGCTGGGTTTCATGTCGCAAGTTCTCCCGTGGTTGAGACCTCTCCTGGCCCCCTTCCACTCGTGGTTGGCCGCTGCGGGTCGCGCGGGATCCAGGGAAGCCCCTATTTTGGTGCGTCTGGTGATTTGGTCCATAAGGAAGAAGCTTTCAGAGGGCCGTCACATGTCTGAGTGCCGGTCTCGGGAACCGTGGCTTGGAGAACTGGTCAGAACAGATGCTAAGTGTACAGACAAGCATATTGTGCTGGGCGGTTGGTCTCTGGAACGGGGAACAGACACGAAGTTGGCCGCCTGGTTTTCATTGAAATTGGGAATGAAGGAAGCGGGCTGGATGGCCCGCGAGAAAGGTGGCTTTGTCGGGTCCAGCACCGCGGCGGAACTCCTGGCGACCTTGGTGGCTTTGCAGGTGCTTGTGCCAAATATGACACGTGATAAGGTGATGAAGGCCCATCACATTTTCTTGACGGCCGGGACGGACAATAAGTCCAATGAGAGTTTGGTGCGGAAGGGCAGCAGCACGAAGCTACCCATGATGTTGATTCTCATTCAATTCTTGATGTGGTGCGACTCGCGGAGTATGCGGTGCGAAATGAAGTGGAGACCCCGGAGCGAGAATCAGCCCGCGGACGATTTAACAAATTCAGTATACGATATGTTCGATTTGGATCGCCAGGTTCTGGTGGATTGGGATTGCCTGGATTTATCTTTTCTTCAGGAAGCCTTGAAGCATTTGGCCAGCTTTGAGCTGGAGAAGGAAAACGCGAAGCGGGCTCGGGTAGATCAACCCAGAGGCAAAGTGCCTTTTGAGAAGTCGGTTTGGGGCTGACTCGCCTTCGGTGGGGGTGGCCATCTCGTCAGCCCTTGGAGGGCCTCGATCTTGGAGATCTTTGCTGTGTCCTTGGGATGGCTACCCCAGTTGTGATTTTCGACACAGACTTTGATGGTGAGCTGCGCCCCCTTTGGAAAAGAACCGATTTGGAGCGCGTTGCATGTCATTTGACTACTTTTGATTTTGATGCATTCGCATTCTCTTGCAGGGCCTTCGGTCCATCTCTGCCGCGCTTGGGTTTAGGTTTCCCTGGCCCCCCTTTTGTTGTCTGTTTTCCCGCTGGGATTTGCTCCCCCGAAAATTGAAAGGGAACAAGCCACAGAGGGGCAGCGTAGCGAACTCTCTGAATTGTTCCCTAACAGTTTTCGCTTCGGGCGGGGGGAGGGGGTTGGTGTGTGAGTTTGCGGCGCGTCCGGAGGGCTTTGTGTTTCCTTCGTTGTCAGGCCCGCGCCGGACGTGCGTCGCGCTTTTTACTTTGGTTTTGAACTTGGCTTTCGAAAGCCGAAGGAGGCTAGCTGTCTCACACATGCAAAAGCGCGCCGCGCGCGCGCCGCGCGCGCGCGCGCGCGTCCGGTACCAGGGTCTTATTTATGTAGGCGAGTAGATCGGGTTTTCCTCACCTGTAGCTTTAGAAAAGTTTCCACACTTTGGTTGTGTGCAGGAAGAAGCTCTGCATCTGACGAAGTTGCAGTTCATTCCATTTTGCCAGGTGCCACCAACTGCATTTCAGAGAGTGCGGGCCCGTTTGGTTGTGGTTGTCTTGTTTGTTGGTGGGTGGTTTTGCAAGTTGGCGTTTTCATTTTGCACTTGGTGCAGTTTACTTGCATGTCTTCGGATTGGATTTGCATTTAAGAAGCCGACGAAGTCTCGGCTCTTGGGTCTTAGATTTTAAGCTCCCACCACCGTCCCCATTCACCCCCTGTACAGGGGGTGGCCATCTCGTCAGCCCTTGGAGGGCCTCGATCTTGGAGATCTTTGCTGTGTCCTTGGGATGGCTACCCCAGTTGTGATTTTCGACACAGACTTTGATGGTGAGCTGTGCCCCCTTTGGAAAAGAACCGATTTGGAGCGCGTTGCATGTCATTTGACTACTTTTGATTTTGATGCATTCGCATTCTCTTGCAGGGCCTTCGGTCCATCTCTGCCGCGCTTGGGTTTAGGTTTCCCTGGCCCCCCTTTTGTTGTCTGTTTTCCCGCTGGGATTTGCTCCCCCGAAAATTGAAAGGGAACAAGTCCACAGTAATCCAGTCAGTAGTCGATCCGCCCACTGCTGTCAATGTGATCCTTCTTCATCGGAACTAGATGTCACTTTGGTTGGAGTCCAATAAATTATGTTTCGCACAATCCAAGAGCGGTGCATTTTGGCTTGCTGCCTCTGGGGGTGCTGTTCTTATTGGAGGATCAGAGCATGCCTTTGCTGGAATCAAAAGGCTCGCCGGTCTTATTTGAATTATGGACACTCCCAATTGGACTAATCTTTGGTCGGTGCGGAACCCCACATTTCTGGAGTCACAGGGTACTAAAGCATCCCTTGCCATCTTGCCATGCGATCGACCCAAGTCTTGAGGTAGATCTGGTCGTTCGCCTGGGCCGCTCAAATTCCAAGATGGTGGTCTACTAAGCCAGGCGCAGCGGGGCTTTCCGTCGCCAGGGGCCACCTTTTGGAGTGTTTCTTTCGTGGCGGCCCACCAGCCCAGAAGTTTTTTGGGTTGTCGAGCGATTCCATCAAGGTGTTCCATGGGACCAAATTGAATGCCAACATTGCTTGCACAGCGTCAGCATGTAAGTGAAACATGGACTGAGATGTCGTTGTGACTGGCGCCAAGGCAGGTATTTGGCCAACCAGTTCAAGCGCTGGATTGGCCAGCTTCTTCTGTGCGTTATGTCTAGGCAAGAAAAGAAGATGTCACGTTGCGCGGTTTGCGACATCGCCCATGAAGGTTTCGGGTTCCATGTCTTGTGTTCGGCTGGTGAATGGTAAGGATTTTACCCAGAGAAGTCCTGCGTTTGATTGAGCTGTTTTGTCAGGTCTACCTGGGTGGGGACCCCAGACGATTGGACAGTGAATGGGTGCTGCCAGCACGCAGCCTGGCACTTGTTTTCGCTGCAGTGCTTAATTGGCTTCCCCATGTCAGTTGCAGGACGTAGAGACTGGATGGACCGAGCGGCGCTCGACAGTATCGGATGGGAGCAGTTTCTGAACAGGGCCAACGGCGCAAAAAGGACACGGCGTTTGCTTTGAACATGGAGCACACATGGTATCATTTGTTTGGTCACGCCCAAGCAGTCGATGTGGTTGAGCTTGGGCTTCCGGAGTTTCTGAGTTGATGTGCAATTGTCAGACAAAAGAGCAGTTCGTGGAATTGTCCAGCGGATGTTGGTGAATCAAGGTCAATCAGTATTTTTCACTTTGCAATGTGAGTCAAGAGTATTAGAGGTGCAGGTGAGATACCAGCGGGACGGGCAGCTCGAAGTCGCTTGAGGTGCCACACCACTCCCAGGATGCATTGGATGCACCTGGCAAATGTTTTCTCCCATCAGGCGGGCGCAGGAGAAGATCTGTGGAAGGTGCGGCTTGAAGGTTAGCTTTTGAGGTTTCTTGAGGGCTAGGGGCATTCCATGCACAGCGGCCGCCCTTAGAATCCCGGAGAAGGTTGTAGGCAACTGCAAGCTGTTCGTTGCAAAGCAGCAATCGGGTAGCCCGTTTTGCACAAACCGCGAGCCCGTCGATTGGCATTGTAAGTTGGGTGGTTGGTGCTGTTTCCCAACACAAAGCTGGACGTAGATTTGAATCTGTTCTTCTCCCTGTATTTCGTAGAAAACCGCGCATGTGTACTCGCACAGCATACTGCTGCTTGTGCGCGAAAATGCATTTCTGTTGTGTTTGAATGGAAGACAATTAAGTCGACACCGTGCTCAGGTATGGGGGACTTTAGTGAGGGATCAAAGTCAACAGCAATTTGGTTAACAGGTCAAGGCGTGAGGGTTGAGACTTTTATTACTTTACTACTGCATATGATACCGTGATTCAATGAATTCTCTCATTGCTTGATGCACAACGGAGGGAAGCTCAGCACATATAATGCTGCAAACAAACGCTGACCGTCGATGCGTTGATGTGCAAGCCGCAACGAGGGGCAGTCCCTGAAATGGAATGGCCACGCCAGCGGTGCGCTTCAGGCAATTGATGGCAATCGCACCATGGCCTTGAGGACGTCGGGAACATTCGGGGACTTGTGGGAACAAGAAGTGCTTCAACTTGTGCTGAGTTTCACACATTACAAGTGAAACATGAAATCAAAGGTCACACCCTTTTTGTGGGGGCCAAGCTCCCTTTCCAGCATCCGGCGCAGTTCAAGGATGCCTCAGTTGGTGTTCCTGGGCCCGAGTCCGAAAGACACGGTTCTTTTGGGATGTCAGTTTCAAGCCAACTGATTATGAAGGCCTGCTGCAAGTTCCATGGACATGGCTTTGCCGGCTCAGATTCAGTAGTGAACTGGCAAGCTTTTGGAACAGGTAGGATCTGAACACAAGCCCATCCCGACCTTGGCATCACATTCATCGCAGTGAAGCATGCATCGCTTGCTGCAAATGTTAGGTGTCTGCTTGGTGACACCAATGCTTGCAATGTACACTGACTCCAGGAGCTTTTGGCCTAGATGCGTGTACGGGAAGTCGGTTGGTATCTTGGAATGGGCCAGCTGTTCTTGGCAGTCACCCTGATAAGCCTTTCAGTCTAGATACAAGGCCCAGCGCGTCTAGTTCCCACTATATCATGTGAAAGCCTGGTTACCTGTGGTAAGTGGAGGCACTGGGAGGGGTATGGTAGATTTCGGGCCCACAAGTCCATGGACTCCATGGTCCTGCAGGAGTGCAGGGCGCATTTCTCGGAATCTTTCACGGCGCGGCCGCGCGCATGTCAGGCGCAGGATCTTGTTCGGTCGATTTGAGAAGTTGATCTTGCCCCTCCAATCCAGCTTGCAAATCACATGCCGAGCCCAGTGAGGAGGGTTCGGGGCTGGAAGTCGTTGGGCAGTGGGAATTATTCATTCCATTGCTTTCTTGCTGCATGGTGTGAAGGCTGGGAAACTGATGACTTCCAATGGGCTAAGCTGCTTCTGGGCTGCCAGTATTGCTTGCACGCTCTCAGCTTAGGACTCATTCGTATGCACTTTACGCAGTAGTTCTGAGTACACCCATGTTATATTGTACAAATCGTCCAACATGCATATGTCTATATTTATATATAGAGACAATGCATATTTATATATTTGATCCAGTCGTGCTCTGATAGCGCCGCGGTCCTAGCGCAACGTGCCCCTGGGGCGACGGCAGAGCTGAAGCTGCAGCCGCTCCGTTGTTGCAACCCCGTTCCCAACTTTCTGATTTTTCGGAGCCACGCGGCAGGCAGGCTTGACCTCTATTAAAGCGATTAACGCCTCTGCCGGTGGTGCCCAGAGCATGAACGGTCGCACAGCTGAAAAGCCGAGGCTGCATGAATTAGCAGCGTGACGGAGCCAAGCAACTGAAGTCCAGGATGCATTTGTTTGCCCTCGTTGCGTGAAGGTGTCCTTCTGTGCGAGCCGAAGCAAATATGTCTTTTAGGGGCAGGATGAACATGATGAGTTTGGGGGTGAGGATTGTTCAGGCAAAACCACGCAATGCAAGGTTTGTAGAAGAATGGCGATGGGGCTACCTTTGATTGGTTCTTAAAGCACAGCCTTTAGTCTGACACGTCAGATTTGTTTGGATTCGTACCCTTGACACACCGCCATTGAGGCTTGAAGAATGATACCGCCCCATGTCTATCGTTTCAGGCTATCGCATGTTGTGAAGATGTGCATGTAAATCCACTTGCTGACTTGCTTTGTAGATCCGAGAGCCAAGACCATCCAGTTGACATTTTTCGATATCAGTTGGTTTCAGGCTCCGTTGTCTGTCCCCGTTGTGTCATGGGCATAGCATAGCACAGAGGCGGTTGTGTATGTAATGTGAGCGAGGATGATACCGTTCCGATGTTCCGCCTACGTGCAGTTGACCCATAAGACGCGCCCTTGACAGAAGAGGACAGGATGCAGTCGACTCGCGCGTGTTCGGTCAGCAGAAGGGATTACCAGTGGGCACTGGACTTTTCATGGCTTACCGACATGGCAGGAGATCCATTTCATTTGACCAGCAGCCAGCCAGCATGTCGGTCTTACCTTTGAGCCCGCCAGCACGACTTGAAGAGCAACGTCTCACTTAGAACTGAAGTTCGACAAGGTCACAACATTACAGGTACAAGGGTGAATGTGTGCTATTGTATGCATGGGGAAAACTGTGGCTACGTCAGTAGTGCCCAGGAAGTTCTTCTTCCGGCTGACCGGAACAAGTTTCGCTTTGCGGTGATATCTGTTTCTGTGAGTGCTGCACATTTCCCAATCGATATCTTCAACCGCCTCAGGTATCTCCACAAATTGCGAGAATCCCGCTCAAAGAGCACTGGGGGAAAACCCCTGCTCTGGGTCAGGTGGGCATTTTCCGCCGGCTTTGCTTTGAGGATGTCGCTGAAGTTCCTCGACGTTTGAAGGGAAGGGACACCCACTGACAGCATTGACAAAGCACTGAGAGCAATGAGGACGAGTTCAAAGTTACACGGGTGGTACACTGGGCACCTGAATATGCTCATGAACCGTGGCACAATGACCTAGCAACAGTGTTTTATACAATGAGCATTGTTTGGAACTCTATTTTAAAGAGTTTGCAGCGTTCTTGATATCCAGCTACTTAGAGGCTGACGCCTGGGCTTTTGAAGGCCGTTTTGTTCAGTTCACGTCATTCTGATAATTTGTACGTCCTACCAAAGCAGGCCGTGGCAGTCTCCTTCGTCCAGTCTCAGAGTTTCATTTCACTGTCTGCCTTCCCAGAGGATTTCGGTGGCATCTTCGCATTAGTCGTGACGCCACAAGCCTTTGGGCAAGCCTGCCCCCGGTTTGGCCCCTAGGGTCGATTTTAAGCGCTGACCGGTGCAGCGCTGACCGGCATAAGTCTCAGACTTTGCCGAGGCTTCGTTTCTGCTCGGCCATGTCCGTTTCGGGCTAATCTGATGCCCACCCGGCAAAGATCGACAGGGCCGGACCATAAGTGCAGGTGTGACCAGACACACTTCTCGCTTAACCTATTTGAGAGTCCAAACTCAACCCCATACTATATGTCATTGTTTGTTTTGGGAAGATGCGCCTTTGTTGGTTAAATCAAAGGTGCAGCACTGCATTTCTGAACACGCAACAATATTTCGAGGGTGCTCGTCTAGTAGCTGTTTGCATGTGTTTTGTGTTTGCTTTTAGCATCATTGAGCCACGTGGTCTGAGTACTGGATTTGGGTTGATTTCGTGCAAAACCACATATTTGCATGTGTTCAGCGTTAGCTTTGCCCTTGTTGAAGGACCCTAAGAGGAGCTTGTTCCGAGCCCTCCAAACCCATGTTCAATTCACAGTCCATAGCCCCAGAGGTTCATGGCATTTGCCTGCAAGTGTACTTTGCAAGCATGGCTCGCTCCGATTCTGCACAACCTGACGGGTTCTGCCTTGGCGTTCATGTACAGATGCATGCCAGCTGCGTTTCTGCCTGGTAGCTTCCAATGAGGCTCTTCTGGCACCGCGGGCAAACCAGCCGGGCAAGGGGAAACATGGCGTGCCGATGCGTGCCGGGCATCGAACCTTGGAAGCTCTCTATTTTAGATGCTGGCAATCCTGGATCCAGTCGGCCAGTGGCAGAGCAGGGTTCCGACTTGTTGATGAATTAAGAATCAATCGGATTCACTGCTGTGGCATCTCCCCGCAGCAATCCGTCCAGCAGGGGTGACAGTTTCATAAGGCTCCCTCTCAAGGCAACCAATCCGCAGAAAGTTTGACCAGTACAATTTGGGTGCAGAATGGATAGCAATGAGACACTCGCAACATGGATCCTCACAGATCTCACAGCTTTCACCCAGCTGCTTTGTGTTCTGAAGGGAGACCTCGGGCGGACCGTCAAGTACCCGCCTTTCCTTGGAACCCAAAAGGGTAGGAAAATGGGCTTGAGGCCTCCAGTCAGATTTGATGGGAGGGTACGCCACTTAATTTGTGAACAGAGGCGGGGGGGCAGCTGAGAGGCCCATAGTTCAAAAACTTGCTTGGGAACGGCTTTTCAAATTTTGTGTTCGGGCTGGGACCTTAGGCGTTCAGGAACCATCATGTTACTGCCTAGCATTTCTCGAGTGGACATGGAATAGTGCCAATATGCCTGAATGAAATAGGCAGTGTGCGTGAGTTGCACACGTTCAGCTATGCAACTTGTGTTTATACCATGAAAGACCGCCCCGAGAAGAGGCGGCCATCTACACTGATGCATATACTTGCTAGTCCAGTCGCGGTACAGTGAGAAAACGTGGCAGTGTGGCAATAGTGCAGGGCTGGGTACAGCTGCGCCGCGTTTGCCGCTCCGTACAGCCAAAAAACGTTGATGTCATGACACATTGCGCAAGCAAGCGTACTATCCAAATGCACGCTTGCACCCACAGCACCTCGTTGACATGTGGACAATTTTATAGCATGCTGTAGGTTTACCAGCTTTTGTTTGAGAGTCATATGACATCACTTGCAGTCAACTCACCCAGGCTTTTTAATAGAAAGCTGAGCCATTTCGTTCTCGACTTGCTCCGCGCTTTGCAATGGCCCCCATAGAAGACGAAGTGGAAGAGGCTGCGGCGCAAAACTGACCCAGTTCAAGACGTGGAATATGTTGTGTTCTTTCGTGCAAACACTGAGCTCAGGGCATTGGATAGTGCGGTCACAACTTATATGCGGACTGAGAAGCTTGCGGAATCCGAACCAAAGTTGCGGCGAACACCGTACCTAGTGGACATGGCAGAAACCAGGCCCGGCATGCCTGGTTTTCAGGGGCTAAACAAACACGAATAGTATAATACAAAAGTCGCAAAATAAGAACGGGAGAAGGCGAGCAGAATCGCCTTTGAGGCGCTCCGCAACACGTCCAGTTTTGTGGTTCCCCCAGTTTGCTAGTTTCTCAATTTAAGGTGACACCTTTAGTCGGCCTGAAGAGGAATGGTTCATTACGTTTGCCTCCTGGTACTTTTCGAAATAGCCTTATCCCGTTGGATCCTTAGACACTTGATATCATGTTCAGTTGCTTGCCCTTACACTGAATATGATTCTTGGTCATGGTACTGAGCCATATTTCTCACCTTATCGGTTGTGTTGTTGTCAAGTCGCCGGTGCTTTTCACCCGCCCTGGGGATGCTTTGCATTTGCAAATTCCCTCACCATGTGTCGCCCCTCCCTGTCCCTACGTCAGCCCAACGTTCAGCGACAGGCGAAAAGGCTCCGGCACGCCCACGCCCACAAAGACACTAATGCGGTACTGGTGCATTTCAACAGACCTGATAGCGGTGCGTTCGCAAGAGCGGCCACGGCCAGTATATTTTTGGATCAGTATGGAGTTCCGATCAGTCATCAGAGCTTGGGCAATATAAAGGGACATGTCACTGATATGTCAATCCCTTACTCAGCCTCACAGATATTTCAGAGATCGCACTCGTTCTTTTGCTTTGAAACATCCACCCAAAGGGTGGCCCCCAGGTTGAGAACCCCGATATCATGACAGGAGCCTCACGAGCAACGATTCGTGGAGGAGGAGGAGGAAACCAGTCCTTGTCCTCAGATCGCCCAGCATTAATGTGTTTTAGGTGGCTGGCACCATATGCAAGCTGCGAAGGTCCGGATGCTGACCAGCAACGTGGCCACATTGCATACCTACAGTGGTGTTAACCTCCAGGGTCAGAAAAGCTGTGGGGCTTCTACCCCTCCACCTGTACTAAAATCCTGACTCGGCCAAGATCTGGGCGCATAGCAGCGGTTTCATTGGAGACGAGGTTTCGGACTCAACCCTTACATCTTGCTGTCCGAAACGGCACGTTCACCAAAGAATTGTGGAATTTGTGTTCAGAAAGGCAGCTTGCTGCTGCTGATGGTGGTGCATTGCCAGCTTTCT